CGAAGCCTCGAATCTAATGGGATATGGGATAGGTGCCATACTGATGCCATTCCAAGGAAAACATATTCTAGTGACAGTAAGATTAGACTTTGAATGCACTAATAACATGGCCGGATATGAAGATTGCCTACTGGGCTTACAGGTTGCCCTTGACAATAACATCACCAAAATAGAAGTCTACGGCGACTCAGCTTTGGTGATACATCAGTTAAGGGATGAAAAGAGGGATCATAAGTGATGGAGGCCCATGTGATGAGGTCCTTCTTAAAGAAACCTCAAGGAATGCTTCAATTCTTCTCAGATCCTTGGAAGAAGTGCAAGGAATAGGAGCTTCCAAGAAGAACAAGGTAGCCAAGTCTTGACCTAGCTAAGTCCAGATAGAAGCAAGGTAACCTAACTCTACAAAGAGAGGAGCTCAAGTAGGGTAGAGTCAGGTTATAGGAGACTTTCGGAGGGAGAGAGTTCAAATGAAGAAATCTCATTCAATTAATTCCAAAAGTGTTACAAAACTCGGCCAAAGGAAGATTTATAGGTAAAATTAGGTTAAGGGTTTAAGTTGGGTTAACCTAGAGTTAAGTAAAACCATGGTATGGTTTACTTAACTCTAGGCGCCAAAATTTGAATTCAAAAATTCAAATTTTGGTGCCAACCGGTCACCTCCTCCATGTGCACTCATTTGGATGTGATTTAGTATCCATTTGAGTTGCATTTCGGTCACACCATGTGCATGTGTGCACATGGCCGAAATACACTTCAAATGACATACTAATTACATGTGGAGGTGAAGGTGGACGAAAATGGAGGTGGAAAGGTGGAAGGTGTTTTTGGTGCTCTTGGCTAGCTCTCTGCACCAAGGGTTGGTGGAGGCCACTCAAGGGAAAGTCAAAATCTCTTTAGGGTAGAGAGGAGAGGAGGTTGGGCATGAGGACCCTAGGAGACTAAGGAAGGATTTTGAGGCACAAAGGCTCACTCAAAATGCATATATTCCAAAGTGGGTACAAGGTGGAGGGACTAGAGTACTTATAGAGAGAGTAGAGCATCCTAGGGTTTCTTGGGAGCATTTGGCCGAAAATTTCAAGCCCAAATGCACCCTAAATGAACCCTAGATGCAGCCCAAATGAAATGGCTCTCATCTCTCCATAAAGACTAAAGTACCCTTAGTCCCAGAAAATGAAAGAAATGGACTTTTGACCTTACTAGTCAAGGTTAAGTCCCTAAATAAATCCTAAGCCTATTTTTGCCCCACAATACAAAGGCTAAATAAAAATACACAATAAAATCCTAATAGCTAATGTACCCCAAAATACAAGGGCAAAATAGGAAAGGAAAACAACAAGCTAAGGAGAGGGCCCAAAATCCACACACATGATGATCATGACTTTTGGTGTGGTGTGTTCTTCATCTTCCTCTACTCTCCTAGCCATGGACCTTGTGATAGGCCCTATATGATGTCTCAAGGATGGTCCTCCATCAAGTTAAGTGAACCATACCATGGTTCTACTTAACTCTAGGTTAACCCAACTTAAACCCTTAACCTAATTTCTCCTATAAATCTTCCTATGGCCGAAGATTGTAACACTTTTGGATTAATTGATGAGAATTCTCTTCTTAGAAATCTCTCCCTCCGAAAGTCACCATTTCCTACCTCCACCCTACTTGAGCCCCTCTCCTTGTAGAGCTAGGAAATTTCTCCTTCTTCCGGACTTAGCTAGAAGCAAGCTTAGGTCACATTGTGCTACTTGGAGTCTTCTTCCTTGATCAACTTCCAAGGAATCCGAGAAGCATTGAAGTGTTCATGAGATTTCCAAGTGGAATCTCATCAGGTTGTTTACATGCTTAAATTTAAATTACTCGATTGACCTTAAAATGTCTACATGGTTGCTTTTATTATAACAATATTTAAAAATAAGAAAATAGAAGGAGAGATAAGTGTTGACTAAAATACCTCGAGCTTTATTAGATCTTCAAATATGGAGACTTTTAGGTGCTTTTTGGCTACCTAACACACTACAATACTCCTCACAAAATCTCAAGAAATACAAGAAGAGAGAAAGAAATTTCAAGCTATAAGGGGTTTTGGACGAATTTTTTTGGTCCTTGGGGCAGTGCCTGAGTCTACTATTTATAAACTTCAAAACTGACCAGAATGGCCCATTTCAGATTTGGAAGGGCCCGTTCTAGATCAATCTATTATGAATTAAATTTGAAACTAGAATGGCCCGTTCCAGATTTGAATTTTACTCATAACAACCCGTGTTGGAACGGCCCGTTCCAAACTAGGGTTTCTAAGCCTTTTTAGTAGTTTGGAACAGCCCGTTCCGGTTTGTGAATGACCTATTTCAGGCTATTAAACCACCCTTATTAGGCTTTAGGTCTCCTGATGTCATATCATGTTGTTTTCATGCTTTGGGAGCTCCTTTCCTTGATAATAGAAGTCCATTTCCTTGTTTGCATGCCCCGGATGGAATTAGGTGTCTACAGGCCAAAGCCATCATAGAGATGTCACCCCCAAAGACAAAAAAGGAGGTTAGAAGATTTCTTGGAAGGGTGAATTACATAGCTCGTTTCCTTTCTCAACTGACTGATTCATGTACTCCCATCTTCAAACTACTCCGAAAGAATCAACCAATGGAGTGGAATGAGGAATGCCAAGTCGCTTTTGATTGGATCAAGCAATGTCTCATAAGTCCACCAATATTGATGCCTCCTATCGAACTTCCATGGTGTGTTCTTTGGCTTCCAAGGAGGAGCTTCCTCTTTATCCACGGTCTAGGAAGAAGTATGATGGCTGGATGTTCCTCAAGGGTGGTGGAAAAACAATATTGAAGGGTGGAGGTGAAGGTGGACGAAAATGGAGGTGGAAAGGTGGAAGGTGTTTTTGGTGCTCTTGGCTAGCTCTCTGCACCAAGGGTTGGTGGAGGCCACTCAAGGGAAAGTCAAAATCTCTTTAGGGTAGAGAGGAGAGGAGGTTGGGCATGAGGACCCTAGGAGACTAAGGAAGGATTTTGAGGCACAAAGGCTCACTCAAAATGCATATATTCCAAAGTGGGTACAAGGTGGAGGGACTAGAGTACTTATAGAGAGAGTAGAGCATCCTAGGGTTTCTTGGGAGCATTTGGCCGAAAATTTCAAGCCCAAATGCACCCTAAATGAACCCTAGATGCAGCCCAAATGAAATGGCTCTCATCTCTCCATAAAGACTAAAGTACCCTTAGTCCCAGAAAATGAAAGAAATGGACTTTTGACCTTACTAGTCAAGGTTAAGTCCCTAAATAAATCCTAAGCCTATTTTTGCCCCACAATACAAAGGCTAAATAAAAATACACAATAAAATCCTAATAGCTAATGTACCCCAAAATACAAGGGCAAAATAGGAAAGGAAAACAACAAGCTAAGGAGAGGGCCCAAAATCCACACACATGATGATCATGACTTTTGGTGTGGTGTGTTCTTCATCTTCCTCTACTCTCCTAGCCATGGACCTTGTGATAGGCCCTATATGATGTCTCAAGGATGGTCCTCCATCAAGTTAAGTGAACCATACCATGGTTCTACTTAACTCTAGGTTAACCCAACTTAAACCCTTAACCTAATTTCTCCTATAAATCTTCCTATGGCCGAAGATTGTAACACTTTTGGATTAATTGATGAGAATTCTCTTCTTAGAAATCTCTCCCTCCGAAAGTCACCATTTCCTACCTCCACCCTACTTGAGCCCCTCTCCTTGTAGAGCTAGGAAATTTCTCCTTCTTCCGGACATAGCTAGAAGCAAGCTTAGGTCACATTGTGCTACTTGGAGTCTTCTTCCTTGATCAACTTCCAAGGAATCCGAGAAGCATTGAAGTGTTCATGAGATTTCCAAGTGGAATCTCATCAGGTTGTTTACATGCTTAAATTTAAATTACTCGATTGACCTTAAAATGTCTACATGGTTGCTTTTATTATAACAATATTTAAAAATAAGAAAATAGAAGGAGAGATAAGTGTTGACTAAAATACCTCGAGCTTTATTAGATCTTCAAATATGGAGACTTTTAGGTGCTTTTTGGCTACCTAACACACTACAATACTCCTCACAAAATCTCAAGAAATACAAGAAGAGAGAAAGAAATTTCAAGCTATAAGGGGTTTTGGACGAATTTTTTTGGTCCTTGGGGCAGTGCCTGAGTCTACTATTTATAAACTTCAAAACTGACCAGAATGGCCCATTTCAGATTTGGAAGGGCCCGTTCTAGATCAATCTATTATGAATTAAATTTGAAACTAGAATGGCCCGTTCCAGATTTGAATTTTACTCATAACAACCCGTGTTGGAACGGCCCGTTCCAAACTAGGGTTTCTAAGCCTTTTTAGTAGTTTGGAACAGCCCGTTCCGGTTTGTGAATGACCTATTTCAGGCTATTAAACCACCCTTATTAGGCTTTAGGTCTCCTGATGTCATATCATGTTGTTTTCATGCTTTGGGAGCTCCTTTCCTTGATAATAGAAGTCCATTTCCTTGTTTGCATGCCCCGGATGGAATTAGGTGTCTACAGGCCAAAGCCATCATAGAGATGTCACCCCCAAAGACAAAAAAGGAGGTTAGAAGATTTCTTGGAAGGGTGAATTACATAGCTCGTTTCATATCTCAACTGACTGATTCATGTACTCCCATCTTCAAACTACTCCGAAAGAATCAACCAATGGAGTGGAATGAGGAATGCCAAGTCGCTTTTGATTGGATCAAGCAATGTCTCATAAGTCCACCAATATTGATGCCTCCTATCGAAGGGAAACCTCTCATTATATATCTCACAATCTTAGAGAACTCCATGGGATGTATGTTGGGTTAGCTATGTGAAACCAATAATCAAGAAAGAGTTATCTATTACCTAGCCAAGAAGTTTACTTACTACGAGGCTCGATATTTGCCTTTGGAAAAAATATGTTGTGCTTTGGTATGGGCCGCACAACGGTTAAGGAAGTATATGCTGAGGCATACCACCCAGTTGATATAAAAAATGGACCCTATCAAGTATTTACTTGAGAAGTCCGTACTCATCAGGAGGGTCGCTAGATGGCAAGTACTACTATTAGAATACGACATCGTCTATGTTTCACAAAATGCAATCAAAGGTAGTGTTCTAGCCGACTACCTAGCAAGTGGACCGACTAGTGAAGAGTGTTCGATGAAGGATGATTTCCCTGATGAAGAAATTTTGGCCTTGGGAAATGATGAAGAAAAACAAAATAAAAAAGAATCCTGGTCCATGTTTTTCGACGAAGCCTCGAATCTAATGGGATATGGGATAGGTGCCATACTGATGCCATTCCAAGGAAAACATATTCTAGTGACAGTAAGATTAGACTTTGAATGCACTAATAACATGGCCGGATATGAAGATTGCCTACTGGGCTTACAGGTTGCCCTTGACAATAACATCACCAAAATAGAAGTCTACGGCGACTCAGCTTTGGTGATACATCAGTTAAGGGATGAAAAGAGGGATCATAAGTGATGGAGGCCCATGTGATGAGGTCCTTCTTAAAGAAACCTCAAGGAATGCTTCAATTCTTCTCAGATCCTTGGAAGAAGTGCAAGGAATAGGAGCTTCCAAGAAGAACAAGGTAGCCAAGTCTTGACCTAGCTAAGTCCAGATAGAAGCAAGGTAACCTAACTCTACAAAGAGAGGAGCTCAAGTAGG